ATTTCATTCAATATTTAAATAAATTATCTCTAGAAACATATAAAATTATTTTGTGAAAGTCTTCAGCTTTGTTTTACCGATGGGACCCGTGACAGGAGGCAAACAAAGCTGCATTTTTCTTGAACGAAAAACATACGATAGTTTGTTAAAAACAACCAAGTTGTTAAAGATTTACAAAGTTAGATAAAGAACGAATATTTGTTCTTCGTGTTATGTTTCATCCAGCATTAAAATAAATCAAGCTTATCTATAGAAATATTAAAAGTTTTGAGAAAGTCTTTGATTTGTCGATTCGTCGAAAAAAATGCTTGTCATGAAAAATAAAATTTTTGTTGCTAAAAAACACACCTGAATCCTTGAAGAACACTTCTTAATCCAACTTTGAGTACATGGAAATTGTTTTTATTTGTTGCTGGTCTATAATTGTCCTAAAGCAATTTTTTATGTGCATTTGAGAGCCGTATTTGTGAGTAGGTTTGCTTTGACATCAAGTGAGATCCCTGTGTTGTGTACACGGACGKACGGACGGAAGTGACGTCAGCCAAGCCATGTAAAATAAAATCGATGGCTTACCATTTTTTCTTAAGTATGGTGCTCCGCTAATAATAGATCCGTAATAACAAATGCATTAGATAACGAGGATAAACACCTGTTTAAAAAATTGCTTCAGGAACCAGATCATGTCAGAGCTATCAATTCAGCTRCGGAGTAAAATTAGTTCAAATTCTCATTGTTCTTCACCATTCTGTCCCTGTATTTGTGCTGGCTCTTAATTATAACATCCACAAGTTCCATGTCTATAATACTAAATGATTTACATTCTTTATATCTAAGGATAGATGGCAACTAAGGACTCCAAAACTATTCACCTCTTATGAATGGGATTTTTAGTTTTACATTTTTCGCAAACAAAATATAACAAAACATAGCTCACTGTTCAAAATAAGTTAAACTTATCAAACTTTTTTGAAATTTGAAAGCAACCTTAACTTTGTGAATAGCGTACGATGTGGGCGAACGATGACGTTATTTGTTTTGCTCGATTGCTATTGTCAGCCAGCCAGAGATTGATTGTGAAACGCAAGAAGCAAAGAAATTTAAAACTATTTATAAACTGCACGAAAAATAGTATAAATGAGAAAATTTTCAATAACGTTTTTTTTTTCAAATTCTCTAAATTTTGACAAAGCAGCGACAACGGGACGAAAACGTAACTGGAAAAGAWTGTATTTTTACCTTGTGTAACAATCATGATGATATGATTATAAAAAAAGGAAGAAATGTTGGATGGAATAATTAAAGCCAGCACGAATACGGAGACAGAATGGTGAAGAATGATGAGAATTTGAATTAACTAATTTTACTCGGAATTGATATCGCTGACGTGGTCTTGTTTTCAAATAATTTTCGAACAGGTGTTTAGGAGTTTCACGTTATCTCAAACCATAAATAGTAGTCTTTTCACAATGTGGATCATTATTTAGAATCAAGTATATCTTAATCTCGGAGCACATTTTTGAAAAGTTTGTGACTATTTCAATTCGTCTTTTTGATTTCGAAACACAAAAATATAACAAAACGGAACTTACTCTTCAAAATAAGTAAAAAAATATCGCTGCAAGGGTAAAATTAATTAAACTTTCTTTGAAAACAATTTACCTTTTAAGGTTAAAACTTTAATAAAGCTTTAAAACGGTGTCAATAGCGTACGATGTGGGCGTACTGTGACGTTATTTGTTTACTCGTTTGTCATGGTCAACCGGTTTGAGATCTACGCAGCAATGTAAAGTGAATGAATTATATTTATAAACTGCACGAAAAAAAAATCAGCGAGAAATATTTCAAAACCGTGAAAGCTTTAACAAGATTAGAAGAGAACCAAAAAATTTTTGCGAGTGAAAATTCATATGACAACTAGCATTTGAGCTAAAATACAATGCTATAAACTTGATTCCTTGATATCTTTTAGAGAACTATGAAGTGACTTAGTGTAGCAAAGTTCAGAACGTTTCGCCGTTTTCTTTGAGTGCAAATTTGATTTGGCTTCGCGCGATAGTCCGTCCTTCTGCTATAATTTCGTGTCATAAAAACCATAGAAATTATTAAATATTCGCCTAATCAATTAAACATCTTTAGTAACAAGTTTGTAAATTAGATTGATAGATGTCAAAAGTCAGTAAGAAAATTTTTTGTCATGAAACAATTCCTTGAAATTTTGGCCGCCATTTTGATTGACAGAGCGAATCCTCCATATAGTCTAAAAAACTAAAAAATTCGATAGCCCATAGCTCTTTTCAGAAATGCTCGAATACAATTTTTTTTCCCAGGTTCGCATTATTGGAAACTCTACATGGTCTTAAGGATTGTTTTCTTTTTATTGGCACCGAAAAACTCTGGAGTAGCAATAAATGACACGCGATTGAAAACGATCTGTAGGTAACATAGGAACAACACAAATAAAAGAGCGGTTTCATTTTAAAAAACCGTTCAGAAGGCAGATATCTAGGGTTAAAAAAGCAGAATCTTCTTTATTCCGTATCCCATATATTATGGAGATAGCTACAGGTGATGGTATATAAAAAATATAACTTTATCATAGACCACGTTTCCCCCCCATAAAATCATCGATAGTCATAATGCAGTTGTTTATCTTAAATTCAATATCGTTTTAGCACCTTTTCAATTTCCAGCACAAAATAACAAGTAGTTCGTTAATTAGTAGCATTAACCTGAAGATGAATAAAGACCCAAATATTGCTTCCAATTTTTTTTTCTTGACTTAACTGTTGATATTCAAATTAAAAGATAGAGAATCGTTTGGAGTTACAGATTCGATTTGAACGGTCGAAGTCAGTCCATTTTGCTTAACCGTTGTTCAGGCAAACGACATGCATGAAAACTAGAACTTTAGAAGAAATCTTGATACCGAAAAAATTCATTAACAGTAGATCAGTTTATATATCAAAATGCGCAAAATTTACTGACTGGCCTTCAGCGCTAATCCCATCACCGAGGGTTTGTGTTCGAATGCACGCAGTCTAGAAATTTACTCACATGTTCACATCTTGAGGTATTTGACCCATATAATAGGCAGATTAAGATTCCCGTTTTTCCTTTCCGCAAACGGCAAACGGTTTTCTATTCTGCCCTTTTTCTAATTTATACTGTCACTCGGCGTACAGATGCTTTTAATATCGTATTACATACATTACGGCTTTGTCGGGTTTTTTAGATAATGCTGGACGGCGTTTGGCTCGCTTTCTGTATTCGCTTTTACGCGTTG